TAGCAGCCGGATGGGGAAAATCCAATCTTCACCAAACTCGGAGGGATTGTAGAGAAGAGTCAGGGGAAGCTTTTCTGTGGAGTCACACCCAGGCACCTTTCTTGGGGGGGCACCCTTTGTGGGTCTATAACCCGGACATCTGAAACCCAATCTTCTCCAATCTTTGAGAGAGTGTTGAGGAGTGTCAGTAGAAGCTTCTCTGTGGTTTTGGTGTCTCTGGGTGCCTGGGGGTGTATAATTTGGAAATCTGAAACCCAGTCTTCATCAAACTGTGATTTTGGTTCCTCTAGGTGCCTAGTGGGCCATTTTATAGTCCAATGAATTAATAAATCAAAAATCAGTAAATACATCGTTGCTTCATATTCACTGAGGGCATCGATTTGGACAAAGTGACAAATTAGAGATTTTTTGTAGAGTTTTGCCATTCGTTTTTAAATTTCTGCCCATCTCTAATCACAAGAGCAAGGGGCACAACAGTCTGCAGAGTGTACGGGGGCATGAAAAAACAAAAGAGAAATCCAGACAAAAGCTTTGGTACATCTATGACACCCTCCCAAAAAAATTGCATTCCTTCTGAGGATTCTTGGATGACAGTTCACTTCAGGAACATCATAGCAAAGGGCTCAGCAACCCAGCTGAATCACTGCCCTTTGCTGAAAGTGGGTGTGTATCTCCAGAGAGAGAGGGAAGGATAGACAGACAGAGAGATGGGCAGCCAGACTCCCTGTAGCTCTTCTGGCTTCAGACACTCCACCAATTGATGGTAAAGTTGTGCTGCCTCCAAACCCGTTCCCCAGATTCTTCACCCAAGAGATTCTTCTCTTTCCTCCACTTCCTCTCCTGAATGGAAACGAACGAACCATCTTCACATCCTCGACACTGGGGCTGTTTTTTTGACTCACTGCAAGCATAACTGGTCTTTCCCTGGTCTTTCTCCAGCTCAGTGAGAAATATGGCCCCGTGTTCACTGTGCATTTTGGAGGGGACCCTGTCGTGATGCTCCATGGCTACGACGTCATAAAAGAAGCTCTGATAGATCGCGCAGACGAGTTTGCACCCAGGGGACGCCTACCGTTGTTTGACAAAATCCACAAAGGGAAAGGTAGGTTTTGCTGGTTGCTAGTCCTCATGGGAGATGGGAGCATTGAGATTAAGAGGCATTGAGATTAAAAAAGAAAAATGGGGGTGGGGGGAAATCAGCTCACACGGAGGGCCTTTCAATGAGGTCTTTTAGCCATCACAGTCAGGAGGTGGAAAGCTGTCAGTCCCAATTTGGTTGCATTTCTCCAAATTCCTCATGCATTTTCTCCCTGCCCTTGTTTCCCATTGTGCTGTGAGGTGCTGGTCTTGATCTCATGCTGGAATTCATGCACACTTTTCACACATTACCTCCAAATGTGCACGTTTTCTTTACATGTTTTCGCATCAAGTGAAGTAAATTTCCTTCACTCATTTTCTTCTTAAAATAATTCAGTCTAAGGCTGATAAGATTTGAGGAAGACAAATCATGCAAACTAACTAACTAACTAACTAACTAACTAACTAACTAACTAACTAACTAACTAACTAACTAACTAACTAACTAACTAACTAACTACAGTAACTACAGTAACTACAGTAACTAACTAACTAACTAACTAACTAGTGGTGAGATGGCTGCTAAATTTAATATTTATTTTAAAAACCTCCAGTTTCTGAATGTGAAATATTGTGCTTCTCTACCCATGACACAAAATGCAAGGAATTGAAAGGAAGAACAACTTTGATGGTTGTTGTGGGTTTTTCGGGCTCTTTGACCGTGTTCTGAAGGTTGTTCTTCCTGATGTTTCACTAGTCTCTGTGGCCAGCATCTTCAGAGGGCTGGAGTAGGAACTCTATCCGTGCTCTGTTGAGCCTTGTGAAAGCCTTCGAGAATACAAAGAACAACTTTGTATTTTAAAGGGCAGCGAGACCAATGTCAGCAGTCAAGATGTTATGCAAGATCCCTTCCTATGCTTACTAACATTTATAAAGAGACACAAACAGGTGAAAATCCCCAAAACAGGTTCCGTTTTTTCCATCAATTAACCACTTCTTCACCAAACGCAAAGAAATTGCTGTGGATGTTTTTCAATGAGTTCTCTAGGTACCAATTGCTTGGAAAATACGGATGCTACTTTTAAGATCAAGTAAAGGAACCTCCTATTCTTCCATTCTCTTCCTCTGATCCTCCCTTCCTCCTCCTCATCCTTTTCTTCTGCTCTTGCTCTGGCTCAGTCCAGTCATGAATTTTCCTTCACGTCTGTGTGGTCTCTTTTCCCCCAACCCCATTCTCTTCCAGGGATTGCCTTCAGCAATGGGGAAAGATGGAAGCTGCTCCGTCGCTTTGCCCTCACCACCCTGCGCAACTTTGGGATGGGGAAGAAGAGCATCGAGGAGAGGATCCAGGAGGAAGCCCAGTATCTGCTGGAAAAGCTCCAGGACATGAAAGGTAGGTCAGGGCCGTCCACCTCTCCTCCGTCCACAGGCTTCTTTTGGGTAACAAGCTGCCAAAAGCACACCTCTGTCCCAGTTGTGCTCTCCTTGTTTGCTCTTGACTGGCATGTAGCAGTGCTCTGCACCATCTCGTAGCAAAGGCCACCATGTCTGGGATCGTTGTCTTCTTCTGCTTAGCACATAGCTTCTGAGGCACATGAAGTATTGGAGGGAGGGAAGGGACACCTGCCTAGCCAGCCAGAATGAACCCTGAGAGCCGCTGCAGTGACAGACATAATGGAATGTCAGGGTTGATCTCCCTCCTTAACATAACTGCTTCCTGGACACTCATTCCATGAGCACTTCTTTTGTTTCACAACTGTTGGCGACTTTGTAGTTGAGATAGTTTGGAAAATTTACACTTCAGACAAGTGATAGGCATGAATCTGGATCATACCAGCACCACAGGTTCCGCAGAATCCAGTCCCACCTCACCCTGGGCAGATTCCCAGTTGGCACACGCTCCACTCCTCCTCCTCCTTTTCTGTCATTCCACCAATTGCAGCAGGGCAACTTCCTTCCTCTTCCTCCTCCAGCAACTGCCCATTCACATGAGGAGCAGGGATTTCTGCAGCACTGCTTTTCAGTGAGCAGCTGCTGGAGGAAGCAGAGAAGGGACATCTGTGCTGCTGCTGTGATTGGTGAAATGTCCAGAAATGAGAAGGAGTGGAGCATGTGCTGGATGGGGAATCCAGCTGAGGGTGGGGCACAGAACTGTGCAGAACCTTTAGTGCTGGAACAATGATCCAGCATGATCTTACAGTCTGGATTCATGCCCGTCTCTACATTGGACTGCACCACCGAAAATCCCTCCACCAGAATGGGAGTTGCAGTAGAAAAAAGTAACTTTGTGTATTTCTGCTTTATAATAATTAGAGATATATTTCATATTAACACTTAATGAGATATGAGGCTCATTTAATTTACTAATTTATGGACAGAAAGTAGTTTAAACAACCCTGCAAAGACAAACATATGTAAAATTAGTTCTTTGAAAAGAATTTGATGTTTCTGAAAGCAAGTAAATGCCTGTAGATTCAGTGGCCAAATGCTATTGAGATTTACTACCAGTGTAAAAATCTCAGCAGTAAATTGCCACACCTTAAGAATGGTGTAGCAGATGGAGTGACAGACTAGGTTTGGTGGACAGAGTCCCCACTCGGCCATGGAAACTGAGTGGAGGAGGAGAACTAGTAAAACTATTCCTTAAGTATCTCACTCAGTTTGAGAGCCCTATTAAAGTCACATTGGAAGTTGGAAGAGATCCCTTTTTTTAAGACTGAAGCTCCTGTAAAATCTCAGGCAGCATTCACTCCCCTGGCATGACAGCTTTAGAGATTTTGTGGCATTTAACCAGTGGAGGAAGGCTTCTTAGGCGATATGGCCTTGGTGAATTCATGTGAACGTGTGGATGGCTTCACTTCCTGGCTGGCATCACATTGTTTCTACCACATCATGGGTCAAGACCATGTGCTGATCTCCAGATCCGTAATGGGTAGAGACTCATTGGCTGAAATCCCGCTGAGAGAAGGGCACCCGAGTAAAGGCATGGATGGCACTGGCCGGGGAAGATGATTAAGGAGCTCCTGCTTTGATCCCAGGGTTCACACCGCTTGCCAGGAAATCTGCCCACCAACTCATTGTGGGTGAGTTGAGTGAGCCCTGGGAACCTAGCAGGATCTTGCTGTGTCCCAGTGATCTTCCCCTCACCCCGATAGTGATCTCACCAGCAGCAATTGGTTCTGGGGAATGACGGGGTTCTTGCTTTGATGTCATGACTTGCCTGGCTCACTTGCAATGAGACTGCTTGGGGCAGTCTTCCCCTGATGGCCACATCATCGCCCTTACACAAAGGTGCTCTCACTCCAAGCAGTCAGAAAATGGCGATGCAGAAACCTTGTTCAGGCTGTTCTGCTGAAAGGGGAAGCACAACACCCTCCCCTTCACTGTCCTCACCGTGATGGGGCTGCAAAGAAGCCATTCATGCTTCTATGGAGGCTCTTGCTCGTGCGGAGAGCCTGGGCACAAACAGGGAGCCTCTCCTCTGCTCTCCCATCATATCATGGATGGTAAAGCAAAGCAAAAAGCGTGCAAGGTGAGCAGGTCTGTCTCTAGCTACCCCGTCATTGTTGCTATTGGCATGATTGATGATGTTGTTAGATGAGTCTTTTTGCACTTCCAGGGAAGCCTTTCGACCCCAGCTTCTTGCTCAGCTGTGCTACGTCCAACGTCATCTGCTCCATTGTCTTTAGTACCCATTTTGATTACCATGACAAGAGATTTCTAGGGATGATGAAAGTGATGAACGACAACTTCTGGATTATTAGCTCTCCATGGGGACAGGTAGGCCCTCCTCCTTGTGGTCAATAAGTTTTTTTTTGTGTGTGTGTGGCATTTCATTTTATTATGCATAGAGAGATCTTCTGTGTGCGTGTAACATAGAATCACAGAACCACAGAATAATTGAATTGGAAAGGGCACGTGGGATCTGAAGGCCTTAGGAATAGGCCTCAACAGATGGGAAACCTTGACGTTGAGCGTTCAGCCTGGAGGCATGCGGTGCATCATGGCCTCTCCCATTTTGAAGAAGAGACCCTTGTCCAGCAGGCCGAGGCAAAGAGGCAGTCCCGAAACCAGCAAAATCAGGGAGCCAGACTGGGGTCAGCTTGTATGTGTCTTCAGTGTGGAAGGGATGGTCACTCTCAAATTGGCCTTCTCAGCCACACTAGACGCTGTTCCAATACAGAGCACGTTACCATCGTCTCTCGAGATGGAAGGATGCCTAATCTGAGTGTGATTCATAACTATGATTAGTATTTTCTGCACTCCCTGATTGATTGATTGATTGATTGATTGATTGAGTGATTGATTGATTTATTGATTGATTGATTGATTGATTGATTGATTGATTGATTGATTGATTGATTGATTGATTGATTGAATTTTTATACCACCCAACTGGGCGATTTATAGCCATCAAGTTATTAATGAACATGTTGAAAAGCGGTGGACCCAGGACTGAGCCTTGGGGCACACCACTGGTTACCTCCTCCCAGTATGAGATGGTGCCATTGATACATGCTCTCTAAGTACAATTTTGTAACAAATTATCTACTTGTTAGTTGTTCTGTGCAGCTCACACCCAGTTAGCTTGCTCATAAGAACATAATGTGAGACTTTGTCAAAGGCTTTGCTGAAGTCAAGCTGTATTATGTCTAGAGTATTCCAACCTTCCACCAGTGAGGTTACTAGATCAAAACATGAGATCAGATTATTATAACAAGATTTGTCCTTGACAAATCCATGTTGCTTTCTAGTTATTATTGCAATATTTTCAAGGTGTTTATAGAGTGACTGCTTTATAATGTGTTCCAGAATTTTTCCTGCGATTGATGTCAGTTTGACCAGTCCCGTAGTTCCCTGGTTCCTCTTTTTTGCTCCTTTTGAATCCTCCATGATTTCAACAAAATAGCAAGACAGTGATTTTGAGAGTTGTTCAGCCAGTTCCGTCAATATTCCTAGAGGCAGTTCTTCTAGTCCTGGGGATTTATTAAACTCGTTCAGAGCAAATAGGCATTTCTCGACTATTTTGTTTATCAATCTCAGGACGCGATCCTATCCCTTCTCTTTGTACTTCACACTTGAGTCTTGCCTGGAGGAGTATAGCCTGTCTTTTGCGAGCCAATGGAGCTGAAGTTGGAATTGAGCCCTTGTGCCTTTGTTGTCTATTATCATTTCCCCATCTCCATTGAGTAGATAAGCCACTGGTACTTTCCCCTGCCTTTTGCTATACACGTCCCTGAAGAATGCTTTCTTGTTGCTTTTAGCATCTCTTGCTAACCTCAGCTCATTCTCAGCTTTTGCTTTCCTAATGCCCTCCCTGAAATTCTTTGCTACTTGTCTGTACTAGAGATGGATATTCGTATATGATTTATACACAAATACGAATACCTCCGCACAACTGGACCACTTACACACCTGCTGTTACCGCCGGCCCCGCTCGTCCTTCCAATCACTCAGGAGCGTCCGGTTGTTCCGATTTGCCACTCCTGGCAGAAAGAGGGGACCTTAAAAATTAAAAATGAATTTCCTAAAATCCGGCATATATGTATGGCCACACCCTCTTTGGTTTCCATTGACATCAAGGACTCAAGCACAACATGGTCACTTTCCCCCAGAGTCCCTCTTGCTGCCACTTCTTCCACCAAGTCATTGCTACTGGCTAGAATTAAGTCAAGGATTCCTAGTTTATTCTTCCAGTTTTTGCAGAGGCAGTTTACTTTAGACGAAATAAAGAAAATAGCAGCAGACGTGCACTCCTACACACCTATTCTAACCCAATCTAACCCACACCAACTGTTCTGGCGTTTCTCCTTATATACAGGCCTATTTACATTATCTCTGATGAGCTGGTGGTGTTTTTTTTTTGTTTGTTTTTTGGGAACAATTTATATTCTTCAACCGCTGTATTCCAGTCATGAGAGTTGTCCCACCACATTTCTGTTACCCTTTCAAGTCATAATTACCCTCCTGAGTTAAGATTTCCACTACTTCTTCTCTGTTTCCCTAACTCCTGGCATTCGTATGTAGATATCAGTGGTCCTCAGTGATGGGAGGAACATCGGAGACGAAGATCCAAGGAACTTTTTGGAAACCAAGAGCCTTCTGTCATTATTAGAAATTGCCAGCCACCAGGAACCCACAAATTTTCTGCAGATCAGGATGGAACCTCGGTTATGAGCTACACCAGTGCAGATCATCCATGCCTATCCAGGCATCCAGGAAAGAAAAGGAAGAGATGACATCACGTATGACATCTATGTGTCTCTTCTGCTTTCCCCTTTAGCTCAGCAATTTCTTCCCAACTTTCATGAACCTCATTCCTGGGCCTCACCACAGAATGGCAAAAAACAATGAAAAAATGAGAGATTTTGTTAACAAGGCAATTAAGCACAATAAGGACACCCTTGATCCCAGGGCTCCACGGGACTTCATTGACTGCTTTCTTATTAAAATGGAGCAGGTGGGTAAGATTTGGCAACCAATGGAGTACTGTGGATAGAGTGACGGGCTAGGACTTGGGGATTTTGATTCAATTTCTTCTCTGACCATAGAAACCCATTGGGGAAGGTGGGCAGAATTCACAGTAACAAACCACATCTCGCTTGAAAATATCCTCAGAGAACCCCCATCCAGCCCAGAATGCCCAGTGGCGAAGGCTGGTCTGCAGCCTAGGGGACATCACCAAAACCTCCAAACTCAGACTAGCAGCCTGGCACTCAGGAGGACAATACCAGGGACCGAGGGGTAATCACAGTCACAGTCAGAAATCAAATTTTCTCCTCCAGCAGGGTTGCTTGCCCTGCCGTTATCTAAAGGGGCTCGATTGGAGTGGGGTCAAGTAGAGGTCCAATACACCATCCTCCCATCCAACTGGCATGCAGACCTCAGGTGACCCTATTTGGTCCAGCTCTTTCCACTGTCAATATTATTATTATTATTATAAGAGACCCTTGCCCAGCAGGCTGAGGC